AATTAGGTAGCTTGCTAAGCCATTTGAGTGCAGTTAAAAGTCAGCCACATTACTGTACCAATTACATTTCATCACAAGTATCCATCATAATTCTTTATAATCACTAGGATCTTGGAGGAGGGAGACATCAAAATAGGACATTGAAAACAATTTATATTTGTTTCATACTGTCCTAAACAAGCCACTTCACATATTACCAAACAAAATCTAATACAAAGCTCGATAAGGAGTTACTCCGAAAAGTGACCAAAAGCTTGGTAGATTTGAGGAAAATCTTGGTGAAATTTCCTTTTGAAGAAATTTACAATTATTTTCTTTGTTTTGACTAATAGAAATTTAAAGTTTTTTTTATGTATTGCAGGTACCATGGATATCCCACTGTATGTCAATATTTTCAACAATCTGCTGCATGAGTGCATCCAAAATAATTGTCTTGGGGTATCAACTGACACACTGGAGTTTATGAGATCGGCAAATATTCCTGTAAATACTTTGGCTGTGAGAAACTTAATTACAGCTTTAGGAAGGTCTTGTTTGTGGCCAAAAGCAAGAAAACAGTACAAGAGTAAGTCTGTCTAGGTTGTATCCTTGTTCATGTGTCCAAACTTCTGTTTTGTGCCAGAAGGTAGATGGAAATCGACTCGTTAACCAGAACCATTAAGTTCTGACTGTCACCAAATATTTACCTTGGTGTTTCATCATTTCTTGACAGGTGATTTATCTAGCTTCAGTTGTATTTTCTATTTATTTATTGGGTGTGAGTGGCATTGGCAGAGCATTTAAAACTCCTCCCTAGTTGAAATTTCCTGAGCAGGTTGTGGTGAGCTATTATCATAACCTGATGCAGTCTGTGTGGTGTAGGTCAGGGACCGGAAGAGAAACCATGGGTTCTGGTGCTGCTTGTGGCCTAAGCACAGCAACCCTGCCCCAGTAATTAGTGTAATCTTAATGTACCCCCCTGATCTGGGCCCTGCTGTAGGTATACCCACAGTTGGTTAATAAAAAAATCCTGGATTTTAACACAAGTGAAAAGATGACCATGTAGTTCAGTGTCAGGATGGTGTATTTCTTTTTTTTGCTGCTCAACATTCCCCTCTCACCCACCCCATCTTGTACAAAGTCTACCAACATTTACGTGCCCCTTCTGGCTCATGTAGCCGGGCAACAAGGAAGTGCACAAAGGTGATGAGTGAGAGCACCAGGCCAGTGCACCTCTGGAATGTGTCACCCAAAAAAAAATCTCTTTTGGGCCCCTTCCAGGATACTTCATGGTTGGGAAGAGCCTTAGTCCTCATGCACTGGCCAGCATGGTTTGCGGAAGGCCTGATGTGGATCTGATGGTCTTTTCCTGCCTGTCACTTTCTGTTGCATCATGGGGTAAAGGTGTATTAAAATGAAGTACCATCTGCCTGTTTGGTTGGATCTGGTTGCTGTTAACAGTCGCACTACACTATACAGGTAGCGCACGTAGTTCTCTTGAGAACGTGAACATCTCTCATCCTTCAACTAGCACAACTCAAAACAGATTAACTTGTCTGTCTTATTTGCTATTTGTGGGACTTGATTAACAGAAAATTACTGTCAAGTTTCCGATATAACTGCATTTCAGAACTGGTTCACTGGGTGTGAATTATTTTTCTATGTCCGAAGGGTCTTGATGAGATATTTGGTAATATATCCTTTCCCTCCCATTTAATGATATCCAGATGAACATGTGATGTCTGTTTTAACTGAAAGCCCTCCACCATTATAGCATTCCTGCAGATACTAATGCTGAGTACTCCAGTTCTGGAGTGCAGCTTGAACTGGCAATCCTTTGTCAGATGAACATGTTCTCACTGAGCCATTCGTGCTAGTTAGTAATAGAGGAACTGAATAAACTGCCAGTTGGCACTATAAAAAATATTTAACTTGGTATTTTGCCCAAAGAATCATTGTTAGCATAGGTATAAATGAGCGTACAGGACACTGCCATCCTGAGAGATTAATTTATGTAAACAGTTACACTGAAGTTTGTTTCCCTTGCCTGGAGACTCTGAAATTATGGTGTATAACCTCCAAATGATTGGCTATTTTGGACTGAAATGAGAAGCATGGTTTGTGAATCTCTGAAATCTTCCCAGAAAGCTCTGGGTGCTCAGTCACATATTCAAGATAAAAATCAATAGATTTTCCACCACTAAGGGAATTGAAGGATGTGAGCATGGTGCAGGAAATTGGAGTTTACGTAAAAGCATAGCTGGTACCTTGATGAATGCTGGGCTAGGCTTGAGGAGCCACAGAGTCTATTTGTGCTTCTGCTCCTTTTTATTCCTGTGCAAATCTATTCTGACAGGGACATTGATTCCTGGTACTGAATGCGAATTACGTGCATTTAAGAAAAAGTCTTGCTTAATGCCTTAACTTGTTGGGTGTTTGTCACTTTACAGCCAATTAACTACTTTTGCTACATGGTCAACATTGTAATGTGGGAAACATGGTAGCCAATTTTGCATACAGCAACCTCGCACAATGTAGTAATTGCCAGGTAATATGAGATGAGGGATAAATATTGGTCCCAGCATATGAGAGAGAAAGAAATGAAATTAATTGTGATTTCATTTTGCAGAAGCCTTGTCCAGTGGGTGCTATCCACCAGTTGAGGAAAACTTGTACCGCAAACTGCTCCCGATTCCATACTTCCTGTCAGAGGTAGAAATGTTACTGGCAACTGAAATGTTCCTTGTTACGAATGCTAGCAATATTCAGAGCCCCAGCGTCTCCAAACAATCTCTGCAGATTGTACTGAGAAGGTTTAAGTCCTTTCCTTTAAAGCTTTAACTTTGATTTATTATTCAGCAAGCAGATGTTTTATTCTTTCTTTTGGATTTTAACAGGAATGAAGATGAGAAGAATCAGTTGACAAATGGAGATTATGAAGCAGCTGTAGACAGATTGCTGGCAGCTGCTCGAATATCAGAACCAAAGCTTCAGATAAAGCACACAACAGTGAACATTGCAAAAGAAGAAGTCTTCAGTTTAGAATATTCCTCTGCACTAAAGTGGCTGGAATGGAACATGAAGTGGGCTGGCAAGGTTTGGCTGTTCGACTAATTATGGCAGAGAGATTACTCCGGCCTGAATATTAAAAAAAATATTTTTGAGTTACATGTGTTAAATTGCCAATCACTGAACAATAAAACCATTTGATGTTGAAAATGTTATCTTTTCAGTAAACTAAGGAACTTTTGTGCAGTAGAAATCATTTGAGATGATGGGGCTAGGGGAACACACTTGACCAGACTTCTTGAGCACACCACACACAATACACTATACACTGTCTTATAACTGATTTATAAGAGCGTTAAATTATAAACTTGCTTCACCTAATCTGGTTAAAAGCTGTTTGTGGTAGACTTTAATCTATCCTGCTATATATGAAAGTGGAACAATAAGTATAAATCCAGCTCTTTTATAGTGAAAACTGAATTGGAAGCAAGAATTTTAACTCACCAAATTAATTTTCATGTGTTTTGGATTTTAAAACAAAAAGAACGTTGAGGTAGTTGAATGTATACATCACTGCCTGGTGGTGCAGATAGTTCTGTTGCAACATGCACTGCCCTCCAGCTGCACTGATCTTGTGTTGCTCATGGTGCCCTCGTGAAATTCTTAGCACATTTAGTTGCACAATTTTATTACTGTCTTGCTTTTTGCTTACCCATACCGCAATACTGTCCCTTCCAGAAACATCTTTTCTGTACTTTTGTTTTGTGCCATATGCTCAAGTATTTCACTTCTGAATATATTTCTTAATACGCACTGGTTTGTACATCTATCCGTTCATCTCAGCTTGAGGATACTTTGCTAAGGAAGTTCAAAAGAATTGGTCTTTCTTCACGGTGCAACATTCCACACCATAGTAATAGCAGGAAATATCAATGCTTTAAGAAGCTTAAAGTTTGATTATTTTTCTTGATCACTAGGTCCAAAAATTAGTGGTCATTGCTTGTTTAGCCATTTTGATTCTGCATTGAATTCACTTTTCAACTGATTGTTCACATTACTGGCCAAGTAAACATTCTGATTGTTGAATTTTAGTTTCTTTCCATGTGTGCCTTTTTCACCTGTCATTTATTTTGGCCTGTTTCAGACCTGCCTCTGGCAAACTATGCATGTCAGAGATAGTGGGTGGGTATTGCAGCGTCTGGATGCCTCTAGGGTCAAGACAATGGAATGAAAGCAAGTCTCTATTTAATAGTTTCCAATATATCAGGTCAACCTATAAGGGGAGATGGGCACAAAAAGCAAATAGTCTGTAGATGCTGCAAATATCAAATAAAAAGAACTAGCATGTATATAGATCTTTGCAGGATGATTACTTGACAGTGAGCAACATGGAGATGTTGGGCCAGTGACCCACATTTGATCAAAGGTGTTGATTCTTAACAGCATCTTTAAAAGAGCGATACAGAGGGGCTTGGAGAAGGAAGTAGGTTCATGGCAGCTGAAGACAGGGCTGTCAACAATGCAGCAGTTAAACAGATGTGCAGGAGACCAGAAATGAGACGTGTTGTTGATGGCTGAGGATGATAGAACAGGTGGGAGTTGGAGATCTCTGAGGACAATCTGCAGAGGAACTTGAGAAGCCAAATTTGAATTTTAAAGTTAGGGCACTACTGGACTGGGAGCTAAATTAGGCCAGCAAATGGGTGAGTAATAGAGACAGAGTATAAGAGGGGACTAGTAGAGTATTAAATTCATCAGATCAGGCATCAGCAAAGGGTTTATTCCTGAAATGCCAGCTCCTCCAGACTTTACTCTTGGGCATTAGACATCTGCAATTCTGAAAAGCTGGAAGGAGTAACCAAAGAGGGGATCATCTTCGGCAATTAAAAGAACAAGACAGCAGTAGGGAAGAAACAACAAATGTGGTAGACAACTCAAACATACAAAAAAGTCAAAACCCAGATAGATACCATCTGTGAGAACTGGTTTAATGCATGCTCCACACTTGCACCTTCTCAGTTCTATTTTTAAAAAATTTTTTTTTTTTTTTTTTTTTTTTTTTGCTTCACCAAAAACTTTTGCCAACTTTTGTTATGCACATTCTCTGCCCATTTTGCAGACCTGCATGTGACCGACCTGTGCTTCGTCATAGAGAAATTGCTGTTGTTTGGACAGTACCATAGGCATTTACCTTTCACAGTGGCTTCCAGATGACATCATATTTCTCAAAACTGAATGTGGGGTGTCGCTCTTCGGAAAACTCAATGGGCCGAACAGCCCCTTTCCATACTGTAGGGATTCTGTTCTTTGATTATATATTGATCAAAGCACTAAGGATCACTGCACTCTCCACTGGTCTGGGAATTGTCTTAAAATCTTTAAATGCAGTGGCTGGAGAGGCAGGGTGGGGGCTGCTGTTGCCATTTATGCCCACGTTTCAGTGTCTTCAAGTGAAGTAGCATCAAACAGAACGAAAAAATGTGAAAATTAAAAGATGAATTACATTGAGAAACTATTGATTTGCATTTTCGTGACTTAGTGGAAAAGAAGAGGTAGATGGTTTTGCTTTTGAGTCTGCTCCACTACTTTGTGATACGGCTTTTGCTTCAACTCTATTTCCTTCATGCTGCAAAGACCAAAAAGCTCTTTGTTCCAGCCTTTATTATATTCAACAACTTTCCAGGGTAGACTTTTTCCAAAGACACATAGATCTTTTTGAGTCAAGAAATTTTTCATAGTCCTAAGTGATCAGATCTTTAACTTGAAACTATACCTGTGTTCCAGATTTCCCATACTTCTGTGCCTACCCTGTTAAGCTTCTTCAGAATCCTGTACATTTCAATGACATGACTTTAGTTTTGAAACTCCATAGAATATTGACTAAGTAAAAGGTGTCTACTGTCACAAGAAAACCCTCTTATTACAAAAATCATTTGAATGCAATGTCTTGTACTGCCTCTCATGATCTTTTAAGGTTTAATCTGTTAATGGGGCTCTAGCTATAAAACTGCACGTGCACACCACCCATCCCATCCTGCTGAAACGTAACTAACGCAATTTTCTGCTGCCAAAATCACTGTCGTATTTGCTGCTGTTCAACGACCTGCACTTGCATAGCACCTTTTTAAGGCAGTAAAACACAAAGTACTTTATCAACAGTAGAACAACAGTCAACCACCAAAAAGACATCAGGAGGTTTGACTAAAATCTAGGTAAAGAGTGTGGGTTTTAACAAATATCTTTTACGAGAGGCAGAGAATTGTGGGTCTTAGGATCCAAAAAGCTGAAAGCCAGCCGAAGTCAATACAGTGTGGAGCTGGGGGAAATACAGCAGGTCCTGACCCAAAATGTTAACCTTCCTGCTCCTCTGAAGCTGCCTGACCTGCTGTGTTCCTCCAGCTCTGTACTGTATTGATTCTGACTCTATCATCTGCAGTTCTTACTATTTTCAAGCCAGCCACAGCAGTGTACTGGATAAAACTGAGAATGCCTAAGATATCGGAATTAAAGGTGCACAGATTTCTTAAAAGTTTGTAGGATGGCATGGGGAATTTTACAAACAAGTATGAGTATCTGAAAAGGATGCATTGCCAGACCAGGAGAAAGTTTAAGTTAGCAACACAGGCTGATGAGTAAACTAGATTTGATGTGAGTTCAAGTTTATGGGAGGTGGTCCACAGAACATCTGGACTCAAAGTCTAGAAATAACAAAGATATGGATGGGGGCTCTGGTAGCAGATGAGCTGAGATATGGTGGAGTTGATTGAGATTGCAGAGGTGAAAGTACAGGATTCTTAATGATGAAGAGGAAGTATGGATGGAAGATCATCACAGGGTTAGGGCTTTATTCTATCAGTATAGTAACTAAGTGCAAGACAGCACTTCCACAATTCGATCTGCTCTATGTTTTAGATATTTGGTGCCCTGGCTGTGTGAGCTACAGGTTCTAGATCTACTGTTCTCCATATTCCTCAAACTTGGGCACTTTGGATACTGGTGCGCACAGGAGGGAAGGAAGTAATCTAAACAAAAAGACATAATCCAAATTAGCCTCGTTCATCAATATGGTGAGGTGTGATGTTAGAAAATGAGGTTTATAAAATTGATATAAGGTCTTATGGCCTAGTAGGTAGCATCTTTGTCTCCAAGTCAGAAACTTTAGGTTCAGGTCCCACTTCAAGATTGATCGTCAAGGAAAGTGCATTCAATGTGGCCAAACAGGTGAGTATCAATCTTCAGATCCTTCCAAAATATGCATCAACAGGCACTAAGTGCTGGAAATACCTGGGTAGCCATACGATGGTTAAAAAATTTGAGCCTCAACCATGACCAACTTAGTTCCAGCTTACAACGTGCATATAAAAGTGCATGTTTCCTCAGCAAGTCAAATTGGTTGGTTCAGTTACCCAGGGGTTGAATTCCCACTCTAGAGAGCTGGTCACTTTGATGTTGGCAAATTTTTTAATACATATTTTAATTCACATTACAATTCAGCTCTCTGTGGGCAACTTGGAATTTCCCCAACGTTGGTTATTAGCTATAGTTCCAAAAACATGCACACTTCCAGTTTCATTCACTTGTTAGCTTTACAATGCTCCAAGCTGAGATTGTGAGGAGCATCTTGGATCCAGTCTCTTTTTCTTATTCTCCTAAGTTACCGTTTCCAGTCCCAGGGCACGCACAAGTCACCATCCTGTAACACTGTATAGAAATGGGAGATACACAGGTGCATCCCTTGCAACTCACTGATGTTTCCTTCAAGGAGTCTTTGACAGCACTTCACCATTTGTTGGCTGGACACACTAGGCTCCTTATATAGTCTCTTGAGTCCAAGTCGTTCAATGCAATCTCTGATCAGTGTCTTCTGTTTCAGTTCCAATCTAGTTGGATAAAAATAAAAATCCATTAACTTCTGGAGTGAAACAGTTGATTTGCTCGAGAAGTAATGGAGTGTGTATATACAGTTAATTAGCTGTCATAGTCACGGGATGAAGAGATAATACTGAGCTGTGAAATTCCACAAATTGTTGGTCATCAATCTCTGCTGCTGCTGCTCACTAATGGCCTTTCATACTCAACCCTGCTCTTATTACACATTATTTACCCATTAAACTCACCACAGAAATTTAGGACTGATAATTATCAGTATAAGTATCTATATAACAACTGGTGGGTAGAAAAACAGCAAATTAAATTCAATTTAGTAAGGTGTGAGGTGGTGCATTTAGGAAGGTCTAACAAGGCAAAAGAATACACAATTAATGGGAAAATACTGAGAGGTGTAAAAGAAGTGACAGACCTCGGAATGAAAGGTCTAAAATCACCAAAGGTAGCAGGACAGATAAATAGGTACGCTAGAAATCTTTCTCTTTATTAGCCATGGCATGGAACATAAGAGTAAGGAGGTTATGCTGGAATTATATAAATCATTAGTTAGGCCAAAATTACAATGTGCAATTTTGATCACCTCATTATAGAAAGGATGTAATTGCACTAAAGAGGGTACAGAGGAGATTTACAAGGATGGCACCACAATTGTAGCTACAAAGAATGCTTAGATAGGTCGGGTTGTTCTCCTGGCAGAACAGTAGGCTTGGGTGAGAGTTGACTGAGACAAACAAATTGAGGGTCCTGGATAGAGCAGCTGGACAGGGCTATTTACCTTAGTAGGGAGACCAGTGACTCAGGGGCAAGGATTTAAAGTGACTGGTAGAAAGATTACAGGGGAGATGAAGAAATTTTTTTTTTCACCCAGAAGGCAGTAGGTTCATAGCTCACTCACTGAAAGGATAGCGAGGGCAGAAATCTTCAACTCATATACAAGCTGTCTGGATGTGCAGGTCAATTTCAGAAACCTGAAGGCTTTAGACTGATTACAGAAAAATGGGATCAGGCTATGAGGCTAGTTTCTGCACTGGTGCAGACATATGGGCCAAGTGGCCTCTTTCTGTGCCCGACCTTTTCTACCAGTAACAATGTAATAATTAATGCAATGTAAATAAATTGCTCTGGACCAGAAAGGGAAGAATTCAAACAATAATATAGAGGAACTAAGACTTGCAGATGCTCGAAACCCCAAATAAAAACAAAAAATACTGGATGTACTCAGCAGGTCAAGGGGCAGTGAGCAATTTAAATTGTTTAGTTCCAAACTTTCAGACAAAGTGATGTTAGAGTTTTTATAATGTAAACAGTTTTTTTTTTAAACTTTACCAGTGTCTCTTTTCCTTTGCCTCAATCCAACCTTTCTCTTCTCTTTATTTCTGGATCTGATTTCACTGTAATTCACCTGCTTTCTTTCTCTTTTGTTTGTCTGTTCATTTCAGTCCTAAAATCCTCATGTTTAGAGTTCCCAGATGCCGCTACACTATTATGAAAAGGTCAAAGGGCAAAAGAGCTTTGAACTGAAGGTTGCACGTAAAGACCTAATTAATGGGGTCCCATTAAGATTTGCTCCATTAACGTAATTTTTCCTTATCATCAAACTAAAGAATTTTGAATATTAATGATGGTCTTGTTACACCGTTATTTTACTATCTCCTTGTTGTAGCCAGCAAATATCTCAATCACACCTGGGATAATTGTTGGTATCAATGAGCTATTAGGCATTTTGGAATTCAGAACTACTGACACTCCAGCCCCTTTGAGTTGGTCCAGTCAATGGTTCTTTATGCACATTGTTAAAATACAATCAACTCAGTTTCCCAATTCTTTAATGAATTACCCATATATTTCAAAATATATTACTCTCCTTGGCAACATGTGCTAAGTTAGAATCTGTTACTTACTCTTCCTCTCTTCTCAAGTAGGTCCTGGCTCTTTGTGAATGAGCCAAAACAAACCATTGAAAGGTAGTGGGGTCACATGTCACAGGTATGCTCAGCTGACCTGCTTTAAGGAGGCTAGGAGCAGAAGAATCGCTGAAACAAGAGAACAACATCTTGTTAATTTAGGTAGTCATTTAAAAGAATGGAGCAGCAAATAGTTGTTAAAAAATCTTCACATTTCCTTCCACAAAGGAAGGAACGGCAAGGTGGCACAGTGGTTAGCACTGCTGCCTCACAGCGCCAGGGAACCGGGTTCGATTCCACTCTTGAGCGACTGTCTGTGTGGAGTTTGCACATTCTCCCTGTGTCTGCGTGGGTTTCCTCCAGGTGCTCCGGTTTCCTCCCACAGTCCAAAGATGTGCAGGCTAGGTGGATTGGTCATGCTAAATTGCCCGTAGTGTTCAGGGATGTGTAGATCAGGGGGATGGGTCTGGGTGGGATACTCTGAGGGTCGATGTGGACTTGTTGGGCCAAAGGGCCTGTTTCCACACTGTAGGGATTCTATGGATCCCACAGTGCTTCTCACTCAAACCATCCATTTTCCCCCCCCAAGTATAGTCACCAATTGCAGGCAGCAAGCACCCACAAACAGCAACATGATCATAACCAAATAAATCTGTTTTGCGATGTTGGCGTAGAGACAAATATTGGCTACATCGAGGACAACTCTCCTATTCATTGAATAATGAGGCAGGGTATATGACTAACTCTACCCACACTTACAGATAGTAAGATCTGTAAGATGCTGGAGTCAGAGATAACA